AAAAAGAGTTGAGTAGTATCCGGCAAGAACGCCAGAATGGAATGCCTCGTTCAACGGGGCGGAAACGAATCGTGCAAAGTCCCTAAAGCAATCTGCGACGCGACGACCATCGCACGAAGGCGATCACACTTCTGGATCCTTCTGGCCAGATGGCCTTGTACAAGGCAGGGAAGTGCCTTGAACATTATATATTAATGAAACATCTGCAGTGCAAAAATGATCCACTTGGCCAGAAAAACGCCCTGAGACTCCATACTCCAATGACTCCACTCTCGAAACATGACCTAGAACTTGGATAAGTTTAGCTGCTTCCACTGAGCCCCGGGGTAGGCTTTGAATTGACCTCTCCAAAGCTTCACAACCACAGGTGTTTTCTACCGCTCATATAATACGCGATTTATGAACATGGGCAGGTAAACGGCCCTATAGACGCACTGATATTCTAATATAACATTTTCTATACATGCATAGTGTATTGAATATATAGACATGTCAATTATAAGGATGTTAATGCATCCTATGCTACAACTCCGAGAAATGTATCATGGCGTTCAGCAGATCGCTTGAAGGTGTGAGACTCGAATCGTGAAACTCCTAACGTCCTCTTCATGCGACGCTTGACGCAGCGCAGCGCAGCGGCGATGATGTTTAAAGACATGATCGAAGGATCAAAGACCTGGTTTCACGGGTGAACACCTTGCTGAGCCCTATAGATCCGGATCTCGTATCTACCTAGGTCATCCTGTTTGGGTGACCAATAGATGTCCAGGACAACACTGCTGTCCAGGATGATCCTTTGGAGACCGGATGATCCTGGTGTCTATAATCCATAAACATCCATAACCAACAAAGGTTAAGTGAGCTGAACTAGGACCCTGCCAGGGTACCCAACTGGGATAGCTATAAGCAGGGTTCTTCAACCCAAACATCCACAAAACCCGTGAAAACATCGGAGATGAGGATCGGACCCGAATCGGAATCTACACGGCCGTTCCGCAAAAAAACCCAAGTTCGATCGAGCAGGACGGCTGGTATCGAACAAGGTGAAGAAAAACACAGAAACAGCTGTCAGGGAGGAGCATGTATACTGTGTTTTCTACAGAGGGAAGGTCAAAACCCTGATGTCTATGTGTGTACATCACAAAATGCTGAAGCAGAAGCTGCTCAAGCGTGCGAAAGCCCAAAGCAGCCTTTCGGTTGCTGGAAGGTGTAGACCCGGAAAAAGCATAACAGAACTGCAAAGCCAAGGATTGACACCCCATTCCCTTGTTGATTCGTGCGTTGAGATCTTCCCTTTTTAAGATCCTTTTTGCAAATTCTAGTAATTTTAATCTCACGGCTCTGTTCAAGTATATATGGGTTGTCCAGCAAGCAGTCAGAAATCATGGTTCTACTGACCACTCAAGTAGAACTCCAGCTGAAGCTTGGAGGATCTTTTCTCCCAGATGCCAAGTGTCATGCATGAAGAGGGCGAGTTAACACCAATGCTCAAGCTGAACTTTCGTGCAGCGGCATCATTACAAGGCGAAGTAATGCAAAAGGCTGGAAGCTGGACCTACCTGAAGCTGTGCTGTCTATCTTTGAAGCCTAGGCAAAAGAGAGGCCTGAATAGTGGCAAGCGCCTGCAAGCACATCCCTCCATCCCGATGAACAACTGGTCAAGGGATATCTCAATAGGGCTCCATTGCATAGCAGCATAGCAGGCTATGCAAGGAAATCAAAAGTTCTGAATACCTGCAGGAGATGGTGGGAAAGTCCTCCTTAACACATCTTAAGACTGACGTATGTGGTTTGGATCCACAGGATACTCAGCCAGTTGTCCCCTTTAGAACTATAGAATAGCTTTTAAAATGGAACATGACCTTGCGCCTTCCAGGTGCCTTCAAACAATCTATGAATGGAGACTGACCCAGCAACTTGGTATGACTCAGCTAAACAAGTGACCTTCATATGAACCCTATGCCAAGATCCAACGTCCGCCTCTTCTCACGGGTGTTGCTCTCACCGGTATCCGTGAGAAGGAAGCTTTTTCACCGACCTTCCATGCGAAGTGAGTGTGACTGGGCTGCATAGGCAAAGAGTCTGACTGAGGCGTTTTTATATCATGCAATATAGCAGCTGGGAATGGCAAGAAACACAGGGATTGTCGCGCCCCATGAGTTCCCTGGTTCGTTCGCGATGCGCCTAAATTATGACATATGAATAGCTAATGTCAACCATCCAACAGTGGTGCCTTCCTCTCCTTCGTGGCTCCAACAGTGCTTGGAAAACCACCAAGTCACGCTGACGTGCTCCTTCCGGTGACCTCGTTCGGTACCAACGCTGACAGCGGTGTCTGGGCCGAAAGAGGCCTTGCGATCGCCGAAAGAGGCCTTGAGGCGGACCAATTCTTCTCCCATGTCCTCCCCAAGAGCAGCCCTCACCAGTCGCAGCTTTTCTGAAGAAAATGCAACCAAACCTGCCCATCCACGAAGAGCCCGAGAGTAACGACGCGCACGGACGCGCGCATCCTGCCAGATGAGATGTTTCGTTGGGTCCAAAGCCCAAAGGCAGCCTTTTGAGCCAGTGGTAGACCGGGTTGATCGAGAACTTGGGTCGAAACACATAGAACATCGAACCCATGGATGGATGTGCAGGTGTTGCTTGATTTGTCTTTCCTTTGGCAACAGCTTTGGGATGCGCACTGCTTGTACTCCTTTTGATTCCTTTTCCCCTCCTGACTACAACTGACTGCCCACCCTTGCCAGGCATACCGTCACAACCAACGAGCCGTTGGCTTCGAACGGACGTCCCTCTCCAACCTCTGCGGTATCAACGGAGATCGGTCTGCAGCCCTGGCCAACTGGTGGACACCGCCGCGTCTCGTCGCCGCTTCGAAGGGACCAACGACAAGCCACCGTCCGTCGTGCTCGAAGACGAGCGAAAGAGATCGTCCGAGTGGCAGCTGTGGGGACAACATACTTGTGAAAAAAAACAACAACCCAAAAAAAAAAAAGGACATCAAATAGGCTCTGACGAGTTTACCAGATCAAACCAGCATCATCCTTTCCTATATAGAAGGCCTTTTTCTATTTTTTCTTGTGCCAGGACCTTCAGTCAATCTGTATCAAATGTCCTCTCTTTGAATGATGAAATCCGACGAGTCTGACGTTGAATCAGGATCCCGACAGGGATAAGCCGAGTGAAGCCGAAGGAAGTCGAACGCGCCAGTAGATTATGCGAAACAACCGAACAACCATGATTTTACTATATACATGGCATATATAGGATTTTACATGCTTTATCATATATATCAAACCGTTTTGAAAGTGGTCAAACGGACTTCCAGGGTGAGTTTTTTTGCACGGCAGCTGTTGTTGCATGTCCCAGAAGCTCCTGTTGATGGGCCAAGCGATGGCTTGCCTGCAAAAATCTGCAGAACCTCTTCCAACAACCCAAACCAGACTTGTTAATTCAGAGATTAATCGGAGGCTAACTGGACCCACAGCTGGCTTTCTGGGCCTTTTGGACCCCCCTAGCCGTGCGGCTTCTCCGGTTCCGCCCGCCGTCACCGGCCTTCGCGGTTCCGGCCCCTGCCGTTCCACCGATCCAGGGCAGACACGAACCAACTCCATGGGACTTGGAATGGTTATAGATGAAAACCCCAATTGGCCCATGCCCCCCAAGACGTATATTCTCAGTATAAGGATCAATATTCCGGGATTCTGTAGATCGTAGAAGGATCGCTTGCTGCTTGGCCCCAAGTTCGGACCACGACGTCTTCCGAATTCCAAACGGCGATGTGCACGTAACCATGCGAGTGAGTTGAAAAGGCGATATTCTGCCCCAGCGATGTGAAGAAGGTTCCCGAACTCAGGTACCCTAGAGACATCCAAAGACTATTCTTTGTAACAGTCACTAGCAGTCTTTGATACTCAGGGGGATTCATTGGTAAAGATTTTGTGCACCTCACTTCACGTCTTGGCTAGACCTCAACACCATAATGCAGGTGGTGCAGTTGGTCACCCTTCAGTCAATCGGAAAGAACCTGACCAACCGCAGATCGATTTGAAAACACATTAAAACCGATCCTCTTCGGCCAAGACAAAACACTTCTCCTCTTCCCTCCGTCGCTGTGTGCGTCGCGGGTCCCGGGTCCAAGCGTCTTGCGAGCAAGACGCGACCGGTCACTGGTCTGGTGGAAGCAGTCCTCCCCTTTCTCAACTTAACATACTTAACTCTCGCGCCAACGAAACCAACACACAGCTCGAGAAGTCGCCAGACTCCGACTCCGAAACCCACGACCCGCTGGAAGGCCTCCTTTGCTCGGAGCTCCCGAGACGAGGACCTGGGCACCGTCTAAGCGCGCGGGCGGCCCCCCCGTCCCCTTTTGGGGTGTCTAAAACAATCGCCTCACGAATCGCCTCACGAATAGGAAGGAAATCTTAGGATGGTGCAGGGGTGTCGAAAAAAGCCACCTGTTGGAAGGTCCTAATGGATGGGCCGTGACCCATCCGTTGGTCTCTCTGGTCCACCGTGTAGCCCGTGTTTCCAACCGACCGGTCCACCTGCCGGTCCACCTGCAGTCACGAGATGTTGGTGTCCAACACTCCACATCGGTCCACGCTGTTGGTGTCCATGAGCGAGGATAGGGTGCCTTGTGCGACCCATCCACGCTGTTGGTGCCACATGGGGACAGGGAAAACTTCTGAAAAACAGACCCACATGGAATTGCTGGTTTTGCCAACTTCTGGGACATGGAATTGCTGGTTTTGTGACCTGTCAATCAAATCGCAGTGTTGCCAACTCCTGACGAGGCAATCGTCAACAAGGAGGGAAACAAATATGGGTCTGTATTTTAGTAGGGGGTCAGCCAACCAATGGGTTTTGGTATTTTCCTTCTTCCTGGTGGTCTTTGGGAGGGCTCCCTATTAAAATACACACCCGTCTATCTGAACGGCTATCGGGCTGTGTTGCGCAACAGCGCCATAACAGCGACGCTCTCCACGGCTCTGCCCATTTTACGTCGCCAGATCCTCTGCCAGCGCTTGAAAGAAGCTTTGGTCGCTCTCCGGGCTGGCGCTGGGAATCTGTTGAAGCCCCTTGAAGCCCTGAAGACAGAAACCGCCGCAGGCATCAGAGTGGTGTGGGGAGGCAAGTTCGTTGGGATGTGAAGATGCCGAGCATGTTGATGGCGCTGACGGGGGGTGACTGTGGATTCTTCCAAGGTACTGACAAAATCTAGATAAAATAATTCACAGACTCTGAAAGTCTTGAATCCTTTCCAACGATCGCACCTATTCTACTGCTATATGATGCTATATGGCCATTGATTTGCTCAAAGAATAATGGCACTGACCGGGGAAAACCAAGATCAATGCATTGAGGAAATTGTTCCTTGTTGTTCTCAAACGCGTTGTCCTCGCAAGCACTCACAACTATATGGTAGGAAGAAACCTTCTCCAAACATCGAGAATAACCGTGAGATGATTTGGTTTGCATGTTCAGGTTCATCAGGTTCATCAGGATATCTCAAATGAATCAACTGTTGGGCTGGCCCATCTGATCTTTGCCTATTAAGTCTTCTTAATTAGGTCGATCCTGTGTTAGAATCATCTGATATAGACTCTTAGGCTCTGGGCCACTCCCGTGTTAAAAGAGATCTACAGTAGCGACCTCAATCCTCTCGTGTGGGGAAACAGCAACTTCCTGAAAGACCCGACCTCCACACTGCCGCCCAGCAGAAACGCCAGGGGCTCGCAGCGCTTGGGGTCGCGAGCCACGGTGTCCGCCCAAGCATCCTGGCACGTGGGCAGCATGGGCTTCTTCCAGAAAGAAGCAGAAAGGGCCAAGGCTTCAGTGAGGATATTTCTGAATCTACTTGACCCGGTCAATTGTCCAATTTGAATGTATAGAGGATTGATTGATATCAAACACCCCCCATCTCCAGAATGGCTTTATCCAAGCTTCAGGTCTGTTCATTTCATCAACATGTCTCAACCATACTATCAACCATCTATTATATGACTGCTGTCTTTCGGACAAAAAGAACAGACAGAGTTCTGATGTGATATGCCTTGCCACCGCAACCAGCAAGTGAGTGCTTCAGAGCTCGGGCTGGGTGCCACTGCTGCGGGAAGGATGGATGTTACCACTGCTGCGTTCCCGATGCTTCCGCTCCCATGGCCTATGTCGTCCCTCGAGACGACCGTTGGACGGCGCACCGCACCTGGAGGGCTTGTGCGACGAGGCCTTCCGGCCGGTGCCAGCCATAGAAGAGGGCGACCTTGGACTGGAACAGGTCCCGGAAGAAGACGGAGATCGGCCTCAGTGGATGGGGCTGGGCGGGTTCCATGGAGAGTGGATGGGCTGAGTTCCGAATGCTTCGAGTTCCTTCCGGGTCCCCTGTTTTTCAATGGAAGAGACCACCCCGTGGCCGTCGCGACCCCATCCCCGACCGTCGTTCTCCAGCGATGATTCCAGCTATCTCCAATTGATTTCAGCTGATTTCATCCATGTCAGCCATGTTGGGCCGCAACCCCAGACACTCTGTATATATATATATATATGCATGTATATGCCGTTTTTGCGTGGCTTCAGAGGTCAATCTAGGCATTCATTCCATACATGGAGTGTATGGGAACACAAGTCTGTGCCCGATCTGGGCGCCCCTGGCCCCTCGCTGTCGGTGACCTTGGGAGCACAACCACACGACCACACATCCGGATGGAGATCAGATCTCCAGATTCGCATGATCAGTCCATGCAACTCATGTAGACTCTTGATTGTATTTAAACCCTTGCATGTGGATGGGGGTTTAGACTCTACAAATCACATCAAACTTGAACACCTTCAACTTATTCAACGCAAAGGGACTGCAGTCGCTGCTCACCTACTTCTTGTCAGCTATTTGATGTATCCTCGAATTGGAGACACACGTGCGTTCAGAACCATTCTTTGCGTCGCGCTGGCCTGTTTCTGTTGCTTTGGATGAATCTGCAATCAACAAATTGAATGCATGTGACTTCCTGCAGAAACCATGACAAATCCTTTAACTGAACATATAAAGACCTATGGTTGATAGACAGCCGCTCCACTGCAGCACCGTCGGGAGTGATCCTCTTAAGAACGAGCAGGAAATACTATAAGTAAAGGAAAACTTGTCCATCATATGCCTTCCTTCTGTCAGAATAGATGTCTTCACACAGTACCGGACACCTCTTGACTTTAACGACATGTATAGTATTGTTTTGAATGCGTAAAAAAAAAAAACTAGTGGATCCAGAATTGAAGGCATACTGTGGCATATGCATGATCGATCAAAAAGAACAAGTGACCCACAGCGACCCCCAAAAACCTTTCAGTTCAGGCACTATGTGATCCTCACGGCCAAGGCCTTCCAGCCTCACCACGGCCAATGCATCCGGGTCGAATTCCAAGCAAAGAGACTGAACAGTACCGACTTCGCGGGGTCAATGGTCGAAAGGTGCTCAGCCGAATCCTCTTTCACATCTTCACGAAGTTGCAGCCCAGCCAACACACACAGTTTACAACCCCCCCGACCTACACCATAGAGACCATCCAGTGGAGAACCCCCAGTTTCTCCCCCTTGACGGAAGCCGCAGAAACATGTTTTGCTGCCCATCCCACACGTTTTTTCAGCCGAAGCCCAGCTCCCTCGCCGAACGACGCCCCTTCGCGCCTGATCACTGGCCGGGCATCGCCGGGCGGCTTGTCTACACGAGGCTTGGACAGGACCGTCGCAAAGCCTCGCCACGATTTGGTTTGTTCCTTCCGCGCCCCGAGAGGCAGGTGAAACCGGTGAAAAATGTAACCGGAAAGAACTGAAGAAAAACTATGTATATACTTTACATATTACAGTAAATATAAATATATCTCTATATAATTCTATATATATAATATATATTATATGTTCAGCCCCTCAACGCCCCCCGAAGATGACAACATACCTTCGAAATTCCAGATTTGCACATTCCCAGGAGGTACCCAGTCAACATTATGTTGAGGAACTGCAACTGCTTAGAAGACTGAATCAGTGCAGACTAGACATTGATTTTGTGGTTCCTCTCCAAGAAGATTGAATGTGCAAAGGTGGGTGGGAAGTGAAAGCAGCAAATGCAAGGCGCAGATTGCAGAAATGCATATCTGTGTGTGAGGTTGCATCTGTGCCATTGAAGGTTGTGTGCCATGGTTTGAGGGTTCATCTCTTTGGTCACCGCGCGAACTCTGGCCAACTCCTCGACTGTGGCCGGGCGAGCTCCTCCCCTTCGTCGGGGACGTGGCTAATTGCTGCAGGTCCCAGACTGGTAGAGGGTCAACACAAAGCAACTGCCTCTTTGCCAACAATACTTGAGCTTCGTGTCCTGGCCTTTCCAACATCCTTTGCATTTCTTGCGTTGGGCAAGCTGAACCACGTTCTGGCTTCTCTTGGTGACATATGGCTTGCAATTGCGTGGCTGCATTCAGAACTCATGAAGGTGTTCCCTCATGGCTGTGCTGTGCTGCCCTTTATTAATGAACGCACCTCTCGTGTCTTGACATTGCTTGCGCCATACAGAAAAAGGAGCAGCAGAAATCAAAGGCCATCAGACATAATGTCTCCTGAGACAAATCCCATAGCACGTCTCCGTTTGAATCTCCCTTTGATTGTCATGTGAAAGACGAGGTGGCAATAGCGTTATCAGTGACGCTTAGCGGAGGCGCGCTGTTTGCTAGTTGAGATTGATCGTCAAGCTCATTCCTGCAATTTTTATGCGGGCTTTGGCCCAACAGAGAAGCTTTGCGTTACCCTGCGCTGATTTGCACAAGGCAACAATTTTCAGAAGGCTTGCCCATTGCGCCGCATCCTCGCTGGCATCTCCGTCACGGCGAGAAAGGATAGGCGTTAAACTGGTTTGTTCCTAGTAAACTATGTGCTTGTTTGGCTTGCTTGGTTGTTGGATTGTTTATCACGCTTGCTTGTTGGATTGTTTATCATGCTCAGAATGCTTTCCTGCTCTCTTGTTGATGCCTGTGCCGCCCAAGAGCAAATGATCGCAAAGGCACGACAAAGTGAGGCTCGCACCTCTGACTCCCAGACAGGGCAAGTGGAGCTGCTGATGTTTTCTGAAACTGCCGGCCACTGGGCCATAGCAGGCCCCAGTCTTCTTCCACACTGTCCAATGCATATGTACGCTATTAAGACAATTTCTTCACCACTAAAAACTGCGCGTCGCTATTAAAATCTATGTTTTGCCATTAGCGAGTACCCTGAATATACCTGAGTAGGTGTGCATAAACAAGGCTCGTGGCCGATGCGCCACCCTGCAACTGTATGCACGGTTGATCTTTGTTCTTTTTGGGCCCGTGTTTTTGTGTATTTACAGCGCAGTAGATGTTTCTTAGAAGTGCACTTCTGGATGTATCAAATCTCATGCGCTTTGCTGCGTAGGACGCTTGCGTGGCGCGTGTCGCTACAGCGAAACGCATGCAACAAAGTTGTAAAATCTGTTGGTTGGTAATTAAGCACCTTTCATGGCCAGTTTAATTATATAGCCTGGTTTGTTAATTCTGGCGGTTCACCCGCTTGCATGGCCTAGCATGACAGCTGCATGCTGCTTTGGACACATAGTTTCACAAGTAGTTCAGGAAAGACCAGACCCGATACAGAAAAGGAGCGCTGCCTTTTACTTAGTCTATTCATTCTCTTCCAAAAGCTTCATGTCTAAGGGTCTGTGTGGTATAAGTTTGTAGAGTCTCTGCCCATGTCATCCAGGATAGCCATGTCACCCGGACCTATGTCATGAATGAAAACATATTTCCGAGACCCCTGTGAGGGGCCCGTGTCATCTGTACTCAGTATAACATACAGTGTATCGCGACGATGGAACTTTTGACGGACTTTTGAGTCGATGGACATGTCGTCGGTGGGTGCAAACTCTCTACACTGACGAAAAGCCGCGGTGAACTCACGCTGTCAAGGACGGTGACGTAACCTTCACCATGTCAAGGGTGAGTCACGAAGCTTCCACGTGCTCGCCAGCAGGGCCCTCCGGACGGGACGTCCCCGGTCAAACGGAAGACGGCGCGAGCGGCGCCTCCGAAGTTCTTCCCCACGCAGTGCGGGAAGAAGTCTTCGAAGTCGCCGCTCCAGTCTCAGCGAGAAACCGAGAAACTGGGAGAAGCGCGGGAAGTGCTTCCAGGCTGCCGGGTGGAGGCAAACGTTGCTTGAGAGAGGTGCCACCCGAACCCATGAGGCGGTGTTTCGTCGTACAAACCTGCAGTATCCTGGTACGGTGCAGGAATATAGGCCCGATTCACCTACACATGGAGGTCAATCATTCTGCCACACATGGTGTGTCCGCAGGGTCTCCTTTTCGCTCGTCGTGTCGTCCAAACAGGTCCGAGTTGACGAAGCGGGCCCGGTCGACGAAGCGGGCCCCTTGAAGCGACGGATATCGGTTGGGGCGGTGAGGTGGAGCTCCGGATTCTATGCCCGTGGATTGGTGAGGTGGAGACCGGACCGTTCTGCTCTGGGCGGGTTCTGCAGGGAGAGGTGTTTCTCCTCCTCAGAGGCCCTGGGACCAACCCGGTCACGTCCGGACGCGGACCCAGGAGCCCTCCGTGAGGATGGCAGTGAAGGGCACTTCGGAGAAGAGCTCCAACAGCTCTCGAGATACCTGAGAAAGCGCGAGAGCTAAGGAGAGAGGGTGTCTAACCCTAGGGATCCAGTATATACCTTCTCAGAAGGTACTGGACCCTCCTGGCACCCACATAACAGTGTCTCCAATCACCGTACCTCAGAAGGTACTTGGATCAATAGGGTAAGGAGGCGGAAGGCACATGGGGGTGTAGTATAGGACCTAGGAAGACGGTTTTGGTCTATTTTCTAGTTTCCTTCTTCCAAAGGGTCCTTTGAGGTCTCCCTACTTTAATGCACACCCACATGAGAAAACGAAACCAAGTGCAAAGATCTGAGAGATATTGATATCATTTGATATCCGGGTTAACTGGAACAGATCTGATCTCCTGTAGGGGGTCCAGAATGCTAACCAGTCGTGGAGAGTGCGTTTCATATTTCAAGACTTGATGGGCACGAAGATTGATCAACTGAGGCTTAAAGCTTATTATAATAAAAAACAAAACACATGCAATCAGGTTTGCTTGGCCCCATCCCAAGTTCTCCAACCTGCCAATTCCGCCCATGCTTGTTTTCCATTTCTGTTCCATCATCCGTGCTCAAATGGTGGTGCCTTGTGCTTGCCTTCAATTCCACTTCCCCTTCCCCCAAAAAATAAAGAAACCAAAAGTTCCGCCCGACTCCACCCCCTCACCGGCCGATCCGCCCCCCTTGCCGCCGTCTCCCCATCCTTCAAAGGCACGGGGTGGTCGGCGAAGTGTGGCCCGAGGAGCAAGACCGACTCCAGGCGCTTCAAGGCTTCGAGCAAGCGCTCGGGCCTGGTGATGGGAAGCAGCGCACATACGACGAAAACCAGCAAACCCGGATGCTGGAAAACGACCCTCATCTCAGTACGGCTAAAATCCCAAAAGAGGTTGAACCATGTTGAACAGACCTTTTGTCGCCCATCTCAATATGTACCACCAAGAAAGGTCCTAGTTCAGGTCTCTCAACCTCTCTTGGTCACGGTGACAGCACATCCGATGTCAACAACCTCTTCCGCCTCGCGTCTTCGTCGCGTCGTGCGCGTGGTGCGCGTGCGGGTGACACGACAGGACACACTGAAATGGGTCGTTGGTTCAGATGACTGAAGGAGTTCCAGGTCGGGGTGCGGAGGTTACGGGTGCTTGCTGGTAGCCCCCCCCCCCTCACACTACTTCTCACTTATGGGTCTTGATTGGAGACGGTTCAGCAGAGCGTGGGATTCCATGCCAGCTTAGTTTTCTTGGATTTGCTTAATAAGGGATTATAAATGTATAGTGTCTTCCCATGCCAGATGCCAGGCGATTTTGACATGACCATCAATGATTGGTAAGACAAAAGTCCTTACTGAAAGACCCACCATCATAAGAACTCATGTTCACGATACATCGCGTTTGTTGTTGTTGTTGTTGCTGCCGCGGCTGCTGCTGCTGCTGCTGCTGCTGCTGGTGGTGGTGGTGGTGGTGTTGTTGTCGTTGTCGTTGTCGTTGTCGTTGTCGTTGTCGTTGTCGTTGTCGTTGTCGTTGTCGTTGTCGTTGTTGTTGTTGTTGTTGTTAAACAATTGGTGAGAACTACTGAACACGGCTGCTACCATCCATTTCCCAACAGCTGAACAGCTGTGCTTTTTTCGCGCCTCGCTGGCGCGGCAGCCGTCGCACGCGGTGTCAGAGCCCTCCGCCGCAATGCGGCGCGCGCCGCGGCGCGGGCAGCGGTCGCGAGGAGTGCGAGGACTGCGAGGAGCGGCCAAAACCTGCAAGAAAACCAGCAAAAAATAGCGATGCTTTTTGATCCAAAACGGTTGTTGAATCGCTGCCCAAAAGTACTCCACCAGGGGGCGTCACGAACTGGTCTGTATGCCCCAACGTGTCTGGAAACATGAAGATTTGTGCGGTCCTTTGTCTAGATCATGAGTCATGTCGTCATTTGGGACGCTGAGCTCACGTCTCCAGGAAGGCCAAAATGATCTTTGTTCCCCAACTGGCTCCGGCTAGGGGTCAAAAGTGGGGGACCTTGGTCTCATCAAGATGCACAAATTAAGGGATGTCAACCTCCAGCACCATGGATTCCGGGCGTCCATTCATAGCCCCAAAACGAGGTCAAGGGCTGTCCAAACCACCCTGGTGGCTGCGTCTGATCGCCAGCGCCTCGCGTACTTCGCAAGGCCCCGGTTCCTCCACCAAGCAAGCGCAAGGCTCAGGCGGCTCAGGCGTCCCATAGCGGCAGGCCCAGAGTGGCGAAAGACTTGCAGTCTGAAGTTGTGTTGATGTATATTGATGTGTTTCTGGCTGATGGTTTCAACTAGTTAACAAGAACATCGGTTGTGGCTTCAATCCATCCGCCAGTATACAGGTTGAATGAAGCTCTTTGAATCTCTGAAACCACCACCCCGGTTTTTTTCAGACCTTCCGTTGGACCTCTGGGGGAGACTTCCAGGAGCTCGGAGCCTTTCGGTTTCACTGCAGTCGGTGGAGTAGGATGAGGTAAGATACAATCCGACCTCTTGGCCAACGGTGACCGCGGGCGGTTGTGCGACACGCCACGTACATGTGTGACATGTGTGACATGTGTAGCGGTGACATTTTTTCGTGATCGATCATGTGGATTTGAAGTGGCTCATCCTGCCTAAGTGGTGCAAATGACGCACCCTGAGGCTTTCTGATGCTTCTTCTTCCCCTCCTCGTATGCTTCATTGACACTACGCAGCGGCTCCGAGCTGCTGATGGAGCAAAACCTCCTTGCGGCCACAGCTCACAGGTGCGACTCGCGCAGGATCCTAATGCTTCCTTTGTGACCAAGTTTTACTCGTCATTCCTTGGTTCTGACCACCCCAAATCCCACAGCCACTCAAGTACTCCATGGCAGACCTCCATGGCAGACCTGGACGCTTGAATGAAAGTCTCCCATCAAGTTCCTTCGCGTTCCAGACATTTGGAGAATGAAGATCACCGATTGGATCTGATCCAATATTGAGATTAAGCCTTGCCAATGGCCAACCCATGAAGCGAAGCAGGGGCACAAGCAGGTATACCTCGTGTCTGAGTCCAAAAACAAACTCGCTAGATGAGACTAGCGAAACCAAAATGCACAGAACAAGGTTGGAACCTTCACTTCACACATGGGAAATCATGGGAAATTGAAATTTGCTTGTTCTCATGATGACTTTGGGTGCCTCTTAAACGATATATCGTTGAAGTGTCGGCCGCAAGGCACCAATGGACTCAATATGAAAAACTGCCACGAAGCAGCCTCTGCACCAATGCTTCGTTTGAGACATTGCGCCCTCAATTGAACACGTCTCCGAAACAGAAAAACATGGAAACAAATCATGTCTTTCTCATCTCGAAAGAAGTCCTCCCAAAACACCTCTCAACTCCGACTCCTGGCTTCCCTGCGGCGGCCGCCGGAGACGTTCCAAGGCCGGTGCGGAAGCACCTCGCCCACGTCCGGTGCTCGGGCGCTCGCGACGGCCCCACGTCCGTGGCCACAGGTGCCCAACGCTTGACCGTCGCGGGGAAGACCGGCCGCGAAGAAGGTGACACGTCGGTATGGCATTATGGTCAACCGTGACACGTGGGTCTTTGGCCCACTCACAGCTGGTTCATGGATGGCCGTTTGTCTTCCCACCCAATGGGTCGTGAACAAACTGGATCCACCGGCTGCCGCATGTCATGGGATCAGTATCCACTAGAAGTTCTAGAAGTGGATACCTGACATAGAAACTAAACACTGAGAGGAGGCCTCCAGAAGACGAAGAGATGTTGATAGTTTGCGTGTATCCTATTCCGTGTAACAGTGGATGATGATGGTCAGGTTGCAGGCCTTTCCCTAAAATAGTGATTTGCTTGTTAAACGACCGTTACAGGTAATATGACACCCCCAATTGATATATAGTACTTTATAGTGATGATGCAGATGCATTGGGCCATGGCCGCTGTGGCTGCACTCAGGGCCCCGCTCAGCGGTATTCTCGCCGATGGTGGTGCTACCTGACCAAGCGGTAGAGGCACAGAGGCGAAACTATGATCGCTGTTCTTCCAGCAGTCACGTTCGACGGGGTGCGATCCATGGAGGTAGTCGGGGTGACCCTGTCACATCCACTCACGTAAGGGGACGAGCCACACCACCCCGTCTTAGGTGACTCCTGGTTCATCGTTCTTTCATGACATGGGTGGATGCAACTGGATGCAACTGGGAGGTTACCGGAAACAAATACAAAGCCCGGCAGTAATTACATGCCAAGTCTTTAGAATCTTGCCAAGTCTTTAGAATCTTTGAATAGTATTGGACGTGGGTTGAAACTAGACCAATTGTTCGACGTTCTCTTCATTTGTGCTAAAACTGCTGAGCAACCTGACCACATGAGCGTCCCGAGTGGGGCTAATCAATTTTGCAGATTCCAGGCCAATCTCTCATCCCGCACGAGTGAACTAGAGCGGACATAAAAACAAATAAACACCTATCTCAAGGCAAAGGATCGACCATCCATGGGATTGGACTCTATGCCACAGAAAGACCCCTCCTTTTCAACCACTCAAGAGGCCTTTGATCGGCCAAAATCTCTCACAGTAGCTCCAGTCCTTGAAACCCAGTCCTTGCGGCTCACCTCCCTCCCCCGCTACTTCCGACGTCCCGGGACGGTCCGACCACTCCAGTCCATCCGTCCCGAGGCGAAGAAGGGGACGGTCCGGCCTGCCACTTGTCCATATGATCCCTTGGAATGTACCTGGATCCGATGCCACGCGCTGCCGCGTAGAACACGCGCTGCCGCGTTCTACGCGCTGCGCGCGCTGGGCTCGGCTCCTGATACGTCAAGTGAATCGAGGACCGTGTGGAAGAAGGTTTTATGTGGGGACAGGCTATCAACCTTGTTGCTGGCGGGGTTACTTGTTTTTGGTTAATTTGTGTGAATGTGTGAACATTCGGGATTCTGATGTCTCCAACAAAACTCAAAAACTGGCTCCAAAGATGAGTGCTAAGGAGGGGCGGGGATGCAGAGTACAAAGGGAACAACTTGTCACAAAGATTGCCAGCAATCACTGGGGATTCCACGCTTCCCGGAAAACAGGCAAAGAATAAGTCCCCTCACCTTCACACACCCACCATTATGGTCATCTATACCTATATACCATATCAGTTTGTTGCGCGCACTCTGTCCTATACCTGCTCAGAATATATCTCTTAGATGCTGGACAAAATTGACTGATGATTCATCAAGCACCTAAAACAAGAGATCCTCAACGATTCAAGAACCAATCTCAACATATATAGTCGACCCCCAAATATTCCAAATAAATAGAAAAGTCGATCCATACTCAGAATGCCATTGGACATCGTGCCACTCTTTGGGCCACGAGAACTCCGCTAACAGGGCTCCAGTGATCGACCGATGCGGCGTACTCCAACATGGGTGGCGGAGCGGCCTGGCTCGAGCCGAGGGCTCGGCACGGGTCGAGCCGCAGGGGTGGAGGAAGCGAGCTGGACCTGGAGGTAGATCATACCACACGACTTTGAAAAGGACCAGGTTTGGACCAGACTGGACCTTTGGGGATAGAGTCCACACAATCAGCTACAACCCAATCAAAGCCGACCAACATGGTCCACAACTCGCACTCTGCGAGTCATGTGAAATGATTCGGTGGGCCACGGCAAGTGGTGGCCAGGGGCGTCAGACGAACCTCTCGTCCGAGCGACGTTCGATGGAAGCAAACCCTGTGAAGTCCTGAACACCCGCATGGCGGCCCTGACATGCAGGACACCTCTAGATCTGGTACTTTTCGGAGAGCTGAAATGCATCCACCTATAGTGCCACCTACCAGATCCATCCAGGTCCTACTATACCATCAGACTTGAAACTTGAAATTTGGAGGTCTGTCTCAGCTACACGTTTTCACTCAGACCTTCAGAACCGAGTCTGAACGTTTCAACACCTTTGATCTGTCCCAAAGAGTGATTTGTCCAATGAATCCAATGAGTCTGATGAACAGGCTTTATATATCTTTCTTCCCATCCCCAAATGAGAAAATTAGAACACTTGGACATATAAAACATTATAAAACCATGATTAATCAATTTAGATCATGAGGGTCTGAAAAGCCGAAACCCAGGCCTCCAACCCCCGCAACCGGCCAGGAACTGGCCCACGGCCGGGCCTTGGCGCGGTTTTTCGCCCGCTTCTTGGGGTCTGGCAGGCTGCCGCCCGTCTTGGACTTGCTTAACTGCGCAGGGCGTGTTCGCGGGAACATCGCGGGTCGGTCGGCGGATGGCGAGTTTCATGGCTGGCAGTCAAAACTAAAGGGGTGGTAAGAAAACGGACGTTCTGGTCAATAACTGTTTCTCACATCTAACTTTCCAAGGGACTTTCCGTTGATGTTTGTTAAGTCGGCACGGTCTCGGGAAGCTGTCGATACTTCGGGATTGCGGTGGACTTGGTGTTCATTAACTGCAACAAGTACTCAACAGGGTCTGCAAAAAGGGTCGTACAAACAAATGATTAACTATATATAAAGCATGTGGGGTTCGGGTGCATCAAGTATCGCTGGTTTCAAGATGTTTCAAGATAACATAAGATAACAAAGCCAAGTCGTGCTTTGGAACGCCCATCACAAGTACAACAGTACCCAGACACGACACATGGGACTGTCATAGGACTGCCGCCCCAGAAAGACCCCCCAGTCAACCACCCCAACTGATCGGCATATATTATGGGAGTCCCATGGAGTGTTTGGGGTATGTACCAGTGCAATATATGTCACGTGAGATTCCAAGACCATTCAACCCAGCTTTGCCTGAGGCAAAGAAGCCCCGAAAACACTTGGAATTTCGGGGTAAACCAGAAAAATAAACACATGGGACAAAACATGACAAAAACACTCAACATGCATATCTCAGAAACTTCTTCTCTTCTTTGTGTCTTGGGGCCGTGCACTTCAATCACAGGCGTTGCCCTTAAAGAAACAAACCAAACAACTCAACATGCTCATCCACTATATGGCCATGCCCATCCACCAGCGCAGCGGGCCAAAACCACCAGGTACCACCCGTACCCACCCAGCCCACCCCCAGCCCACCCGCCTTCTTGTTCAGCGCTGCCAAGTTCCCCGGGCCGCCCAAGCCCACCGGAGGGCCGCCCACGGCCGGGGCCGCAGGCGCAGCTGGCGGGAAGACTCGTGAGTCGATGGTCGAAGTCTGAAGAACCGGTGGTTCTGAAGCCAGGTGGCAAGGTGCTTAAACCATGTGTTGAAGGTAAAACCTTTGGAGTTCGAGATCATGTAGACTCTGGATGATATTTCAACGACCTTATGAAGAGGTGTTAACATGCTAAATGGGAGGTGCTGATTCTAGTCTACAAGAACTTCCTTCCCCCACGCCATCGATACTGTTCGTGATCCAAAGGACATGGCTCCACATGGTTCCCGGGCAAGCTCGCAGCTCTGCAGAAAACATGATCCCGGTTCAGAAGAGCGTGGGATGCCATACCAGCTTGGTTTTCTGGGAGTTGTTTGTTTTAATGGAGGACCAAAAAAAACAGGAAACATGTTCCTCATGCCAGGGGATTTGCAGAACATACACCATCCCGTTCACCCAAACCCACGCTTTTTGGATCGTTTCTGGATCCGTCTCTACGGAGCTGGCGTCGGATTCCTTCAAGTCCTTGGAGATGGCCCCTCTTCCCTCCGCGGCGCAGCACGACCGCGGTACGGCTTCAACGCGGTAAACGCATGGCACCTGAGGGCTTCTCGAGTGGCACGGAGCTGACATCAGGCACCGCCTCCAGCAGTACATGTCAGTGATTCGAAGAGAGGGGAAACATGATTATAATTGACTGTACTCTGGGTGTCCTGGCGTTCGACTACCCTACCCTACGTAAACAGGTCTCCAAACAGGGCACCCGTTGGAAGTGCTAGGTATGTGTGTCAGGTGTTTATTAGTTGGGCAGAGTTGCAGTTGATGGAACTCTGTCTAAAGAAGCGTCCTACTTGAGTCTCTCTGGTAATTAGTAGTCAGTAGTCACCCCAAAGCTGTGCTTTTGCGGACAGAAGCACCTCCCTAGCCAATGGTCAATATATTGTTAGCATTTCATGTTCTGGAAGTGTCCAAGATGTCCTCTATTCCCTATGGATCTTCCCTATGGTCTTCCCTATGGATCTTCCCTATGAGACATTGGTCTTACCTATGGATCCACATGTCGCTTCTCCCCGAAGCTTCGCGTCCTATGGATCCCACTTAGGGCCCTCCTACATGGTCCTAGGGGGTCCATAGGGCATGTTTGGATCCTTCTTTTGGGTCGATTCACAACAGCCTTTCCGAAGGAGTCACAAAAAAAAAAAACCTCTGTTGAACAACGGATGCTGAAAACACATCACAGGTCGTTGAAGCCCCTTCGCCGCGGTGGATCTACTGGGCCCCGCCCAAGAGAATGGTCGGACGGGAGAATTGGTGCTTCACTTTCCGACTCGATCGACTGGTGAATTGGGGTGGGGGTAGGTAGTGGAATGTGGCATGGCATGTATATACTCCCCACCAGCCAGGGATTTCGGCACATGGGATTTCAGCACCTGACCGTCGTCCTGGGCGCCGGTCGAAGCTCAAGGTGTTGGGAGTTCATTCCCAACACATCCGACCCTCTGCTTGGTCCGATACCTTCATGAGATGACGAAGGAGCCAGGCTTCAACATGAAAGGCGCTCCAACTGACCATCCGCAACTGCCACCCAGGTCAGCCAAGTATATATAGATCACTCAAGGAATGCAAGGTCGTGGGAAACCAGCATCTGAGAGGTGGCATGGAACTCGAATGAATTGATCTGTCGTAAGAATCTGGGCTGAAATGCAAATGGCTTTGAGGGTCGGCACCCAATGCAGGGTCCAAGGATTCTTTTTCTGCCAATTTCGTCGCCGCAACGGCAAGCGTCGGACCTATAGCCAATTGCCATTGTCACTCTCATCTGGTCCTCTTACTGGGAGACTTGTAACTTCTAAGTGACGGTCCCCTTCGACCGTGAAAAATGGGCAAATCACAGCCCAGTTGGCTGGCAGCCTGGGCCCAACTCCCTCGCTGACGGACTTTCACAAGAAGGCTTGGCTTGTCAAACGACTTCCGCCCAACGACCAAGGTTCAGGCCCTATGACCAAGGTTGAGGCCCTACGACCAAGGTTTAGACCCTATGACCTTTGAGCCCCAACATGAACGGTTCAGGTCTAAGCAGAAAAAACGAACCCCTCATCCCAAAGCTTAGCTACCGCCACTTCGGTCGAAACGATCTCCGAACGAGCCTAGGTTGTCCCTGGTAGGTGGACATCCCGTCCTCTATTCCGGTCATTCTCTGTGGGCTGGCTGGGGACCCGGTCGGCCCGAAACCAGGTCAACCATTCTTTTTTGGATCATGGTCAAAACCCCTTCAAAACCCAGGTCTTCTACCCCAAACCGCTCCCTAGGACCCCAATAGGACTGCCGCCCCAGAGGTCGACCTCCAGGAAGACCACCCCTGGCTTTTTCTAGTATGTATCTACCAGCTTCGAAACGGACGTCGCCCGGGGCGCCCGGTTCGGGCGCCTTTTGCGGCGGCCGCTGGGGGGCCTGCTGCTTCGTCCAGGGGTGCTCCGACCTGCTCAGGATCGAGATGGGCAAAGCACGGTCCAATAGAAGCATCCTTTTGGGGGATGTCCATGGAGATCCCCTCAAGACATCTGGAGGTGTTTGGATTATATTTCTGTAGCCCTTGTACGAGTGGCATACAAGTTCTTTTCCTTTGCGTATGTGTCGCAGTCAGGTGGAGTCGCATGGGCGGGTATGACAAAACCCAGTCGGGGTGTGGAAAAGTTACATTGGTTTCAGAGTAGATGGCGCAGACCTCTATGTCATTTAGAAGGGGGGTCCATATAAGCCACCTATCGGGGATTGTGCCATCTGCTCCCAATCCACTATAGCTGGGACCAGTTGTGGACACACCTCGCAACGAGTATAGCCGCTTGGAGCGATGCGAGTGTTTTTGAAAGGAGGTGCGAGGTGTGGAAAATACAGAAGCTCCGAAAACCAGAAGGTCCTCCTGTTGCAAGTGATGCAGATGATTGCAAATGTACTTTTGACTCAATGACCCTCCAGAACCCATTTTGTTCACCATACACTTGCATACACTGACCATTCATCTTCTTGTGCTCTTCTGGTCTTTATCAAACATCCAAACCAGTCTCTTCCCAGGTCCGGTCTCGCCACCCAAAACACCCGCTAACCAACCGCTCTCGCCACGTCACGGACCCCCACCTCGATGCTGCGGTCTCCAAAAAAGGATCGGCATCTGCATGGCTCAGAGTCTGATCGACCTGAGGCGCGGAGCGGCGCGGAGCAGGTCGATCTGACCGCGAGGGCCGCGGCGAGGAAGGCGGGTTGGAAGGCGGGTTGGAAGGGATGTGCACCGAGGTTCCGATTCGTTCCTGGATGACACACACACACACACATATGTATATATATATATTGGGGTATAGTATATATATATATATATTGGGGTATAGTATAAGTTTAAAGGAAACATCAAGAAAAGTATCATTGGTAATGTCCCGAAGTCATGTTATCGTGTTGGTGTTACTCTTATCGTTTTCTGGACCAGCAATGCATTATTATAGTACGTGTTGAGGTGCATGCCAATACTAAAATGATGAGCGCGGGGTCTATTACACTATAGCCCATATTAGGCCGTCTGTTAAGATCTATACCCTACCCCTGCAATGTCCGAAAATGGATGGCATGGATGATGAACATGCCCCCCCCTGAAAGACAATTTTCCGAATACCACGGCTCTGGGCGCTCCTCCACTTCCAGGTGCAGTTGGAGGGAGGGTAATTGTCTACGTCTACAGATCTTGGAGAGTAACAAACCCACTTGAATCGCTCTCTACCTTCAAGCGCCTTAGTCTACCATCAAGCTCTCCATCCACCTTGGTCACCTCATCCAGCACCCCCCCCCCTACCCCGGGCCCTACCCAGTGAAGACCTTTACTCCCCTGGTGGTTACCACGATACCACCACCATTCGCGACCGCCGCTCGGCCACACCACACCGGCGCTCGGGGTGCCACGGTGAAATCCACCTCCTTGGCCAACTGGGACTTCTCCAACTGAGCGAAGGCCGTCGAATCGCCGTCGAATCGCCCGCTTCGTCAAGTCGTGGACGGTTGGGGCTTTCCGCGTCGGCCACACGGTCAGATCGGGGCCACGAGTAGTTGACGGGTCGAGTGACGGGGAGACCGTGGAGATCTCAACGGTGTGGGCATCGAAATGGGCGGTGAAATCAACATGTTGGAAGAACATCGTCAGGATGCCGCTGTTGACGGCATCTCTTAGCTTAGCTTTTCGTCAGCCCCGTGAGGCCCCGTGGGCCCAACTAGCTTTGGCTTTCTGTCGCCGACTCGCGCCGCGGCGCGCCGCGCCTGCTCTCCGATGTGCAAAGTCATCCGGAGCTGGTTCCCGCTGTGGACATTGATCGCCTCAGGCGTTCACGCGACGCAGTACGCGCCGTCGAAAGGGCTGAACATGGCTTTAACCGGGGATGGACGTGAACAACCTTGAACATATCTATATTTACAAAGACTATACTTTCATATACTTTCTCCCACTGAAGTAAAGGAAGTTCCTGTTAGAGTCACCTTTCAAGACCATTCTTATAGTCTTGGACTCTCTCAATCCTGCGTTCTCTGCGTTCTGCCTGCGTTCCCTCGTCTGGGGCCACCCAACTCCGTCCGCGCTCTTGATCACTCCAGTGATGCCATCCATGTCCCTCAACTGCTCCTGCCAGCGCTGCAGACGGGAGCGAGCGAGCGAGCGTCAAGCTTCACTGCTCTCGGTGCAGCGCCAGACTGCCCAGACTGCAGCAAGTCTGGTCTGTGGTTTTCCATGGTGGTGTTCTCCCCCACGCACGGTCTGGCACCGGGGGAAAATAGGGAAGTTCCCCTTTCAAACGACTGGAGTGGTTGAGGGTGGCATAGGGATGCAAGTGCCCAGCGGACTGTTCACCATAAAACCATATAAAACCTGTCCCTGTCAGTGGTATGAACTTCCTGCTTGCAGCCCATCTTCGTGCGGGCCGTTTTCCTTTTGGAGCCTCCGCTCCCTAAAGAAAAACGGAGGTCCGACCCCAAACGACCCCTAAAGGATTGCTTCCTTGGCCATGCGTCAAACGGTGTCCAGTCAGTCACAGGGATCACGGAGGACCGCCGAGTCCTCGGCACTGGCCACGCCCAGTGCCGCCGAACTGGTTTTTTCTGAAATAAGCTTTGGGTCTTTTGGGCGCAATGCTTTACAGGTGTTGGTATCAGATGTCAATCTTTCTTGTTACAGAATTGGTACAGAATTTACAGACCAGAGTTGAATATTTAAGTATGTTGTTGGTCTTGCTACCGAATTTCATCCAACGCGTCGTAGTCAGTTGGTGTCGCAGCTCAGCTACAGTAGGCAAGGTCGTGCACCGCCCAACTGAGCCTTTGAGCGAGTCTTTGAGCTGTCCCTGTGAGCACAACTGAGTGTCACGTGAGCTTATTGACGGAACAGTACAGCTTGTTGGATTGTTATTGGATGGAGTTCCATCCACCGGACAATCACAAGTGTGTGTTCTTTGTTTTAAAAAAATAGAATAACACACTTTGTTATATTGGATGTGTTACATTGTACCAGTACAGGTCTTTTCCACTCCTTCGTCCGACCCTTCGGGCGTTCCATACCACCAGGTCTTCCATCCCCCTTCATCCGTCGTCCTCGATGCGCTTGACGCCTTCGATCGAGAAGCAGTTCCTGGCGCAGGCACTGGAGGCCAAACATCGAAAACGGATGCCTTGTAAGAGAGGTGAAGTGACCCTCAATCGGACCCGGAACACCTGGATTCACCTGGGGTACCCAACTGGGATAGTCGAACGTTCGGGTTCTGACCCACCTCGGTCCATGGTTGGTTCAAAACCATGGCACAGAGATGCACAGAGTGCCTGCTTGGGCACGGTATCTTCTTAAGTTTCTGGATGACCCAGGTGGGTCAAGCCAGTACGCAAAAAAGATTGGAGTCACGGTGGGGCCAATTCGGGGGTTCTGATTAGTGTATGTCACCTTATGGTATTCTCCACCTTCAGCTTTGGCAAAAAAACCCTCGGGAGCCTCATGTGACGGCGAGAACATTCTGCGACTTACTTGAACGTCGGTATGTTTCTCACTCTGGCCAAACTAGAGATAGTAGTAGCGGAATTGAAAAGTAGATGTCCATAGATGTCCACTCAGTGTGGTGCTTAGCGGTGTCAATAGTGCCAAATATGAGCAAATGTCGATGTCCTACAACGAATCGAATCCTACATCTTTGGGGATGTCCAATGAAACTAAAAACTGTTTCGTGCCTGATCAAAATGCCCTGTGGTCAGGAACTGACCTACTGCGCGAAGAAGCGCGCTAATGCACCTTCGCACGCTGCAGAGCCTGCCTTCTCAGGTCAAAGGACCTCATGTAGGGCAACTGGAAGATCAGCTGCAAAATGATGTTCACCGCATCCTGGCGCAGTTGAAGACCACCGGGGCAGCTGAAGACAGGACAAGAGAGGGTCCCATCGCTTCCAATTTGGGGTCCCATCGCTTCCTTTGGGTTGCATGAGTTGCAGTTGAGTTGGGAGGTCGGTGAATTAGATATTGAGTTACATGAGTTGCACTTGAGTTGCTTTATTGAGTAACTCAAGTGCAACTCTAGTAACTCACCGGCTGCATATATTGAGTTCGTTGCACCAATCCGACTGTATTTGCTCAATGCGATCGGTGCGTTCCGAGCGTTCCCGGAGAATCCTTGTCAGGTACAGTACTTCGCACAGTCTGGACCTCCAAAGGCAATCCCAGCTTTTTTTCGGATGATATCATTCAGGTTCAGTAGAACGCACAAAGCAAAAAAAACGCCAACGTTTGAAGTGGTGAATGTCTTGGCCAATGCGGAACATGCTCACAGAAAGGCATTGTTGCCCACCAGGAACGTCCAAGTTCGCACCTAACCACCATTTGTCGGACACTGTTAGAAGAAGCCAGTCAATAGTCGTGTACATGTGTTTGATTCCTTCATATCCGTGATCCTGCCAACAGGCCAATCTTGAAAAACGGGCAGGTGGAGTTGTGAGCTTGCATCCTCACTTGTGGTAAGGCTCTAGGTACACCTCCGGGGTGATTCATCCAACGTCCCGGTCCAGGTACCAACAGCGTCTCAATCAATGGATGAAAAGAAAGCAAAGGGCCTTCTTTTTTGCCCACAATACACCCCGGAAGCTGACATGGAACCCAAAGCACACTGGTTGCCCGGTAGGTCTTGGTTTTCTATGTTTTGGGGTGGGCATCCGTCTTGGTAGGGGCTGGTATGGGGCTTTTCGTCGAAGCAGTGCTGGCTGCTGCGTCGTGCCAGCTGTCAAACACGCTGAGGGCGGCATCGTCTAGGCCGTTGTCAATGAGACTCAGCACATAGACCTGCACACCAGAAATGAATCGAGCTGCAAGTGGAGACCCTGCAACTGAGCTGCAACGTTGAACCTGGTCTTCAAAAAAAGCCTTGGCCGGGAGTCTCGGATCTCCTTAGTGGAGTTCATCATAGTTCCAACTAAGGAGACCGAATTCTCATTTCCATAGTTCATCATAGGTCCATCATAGTTCATCATAGTCTCATTTCCTTTTTTTTCTGTGACCCAATTCTCATCCAACTCGGACCACGGGGTACGGTGGGGACTGGCCATCCGCTTGAGCGAGAAGAGCCGCGACAAAACCTGCCTGCTCGAAGCACTCATAGCGCTGGAAGAGACCAAGCATCTCCTTGATCTCTCGCATGCCAAAGCTAAGGCCTCGGACAAATTATATATATATATATACAGTATAACGTTGTCATAAACATAAGCCTTCATTAAAAGGTGCATGCAAGTTCTGCACAAACCAAGTGAATCTCCAAACAGTTTGCCACACTGACCTGGCATGAGCTGGCAAAGAGTCGAAAAAGCCAAACACCTGGTGAATCAAATCCAAGGTTCTCCGGAATACAATTTGTATCAATTTGTTCACCTAGTGCGGGATGCCCTCCTGAATTTCCCTCCAAATATCCTTCTCTGTACTTCAACGTGGTCGAAGCAGCCTTCCAAGTCCCAACAGGAAATTGGATCAAAGATGACGAAAGTGGAGTGGAGACAATGAGGACTCGCGTCTTCTTCCAGCAAGGAGAACAAGGAGAACTAGCTGTAGCAACTGGATTGAAGGAAGCAAGCGAGGATGATTCATGGAAACTCCGACCCAGGAAATATCCGACCCGAGCCAAACCTTCTTTGTTCGACCGTCCACTCGTCCGACGGCCAACAAATCCCTCTGAGCAGGACGACCATCTAAGTGGAGGTCATGTATTCGATCTCCCTCCGCCATGTTCATGACATACCTCGATCGGCACCGAAGCTGTGCGACCGAGACCTTCGGTCTGCTGTGCGAGTCCGTGGAGGGGTGTGGAGCTGTGTTGAAACCTGTTTTGCATGTCATCACATGAAATATATTCCAATTACCTGCCTACTTGAAGTTTGGGGTTCTAGGATTCTAGCATGAAATGCGAATATATATATATATATTATATATATATATACCTGAATACACAGTTAGGCAGGCCCAAGATGGCCCAAGAGGGCCATCCCATCTGGCACAGCCCAGCCATGGCTGGGTCGGTGTTGGCCGGGATCATCGATTGGCCCTTCTCCGGCAGAGTGAAGAAGTGATGTCACGGGTCGGGTTGGGTCGATACGTCTCATGGGCTTCGGGTCACAAGGATCGGATACCTTCTCACGTCTGCACCACGCGTCGCAGCGACGCAGCAAAGGAACACAGTGGCTGCTACAGGTTTGGAAGAGGTTTCAGCGTTTGAAAGCCCTCAGCCCTCCAGCACCGTTTCTCAGTGGGTTTGCAGCCATGAATCTTGGTCAGAAGAAAAGGACACAGTGGGTGCCCCACAGGCTGGTCTGTGCATGTCCGTACAAAGAACAGCACAATTGAACCCAGCTGGACACAGGAAAACCTGTACGCTGAACCTAAGTGGACATGCATTACATTCACCAAGAGCCCGCTCGCCACCCCATGTCCTGCTCTGCCAACTCGGCGATTCCGATTTCGCCCCACCCCGGAGACCTCATGAGTGCTCTGGACTTGAAGGACTCGAACATCTGCGTGCGGCTGAAGAGAGCCATATTCCTCGCGGGGACGTACGCACGTTTCTTACGCGGGTGAGCTTCGCAGGCGGTGGTCAAGAGGGTCAAAGAATACATCAACCAAAGACGACAAAGAAGGGGACTCATTGGTGAATTGTTCCTTTGTCTGGTTCATGTACGTCCTAGTCCAGGAGGTTGGAGAATGAGTTCGCAATGGTTGCCACTCGCACATGAGTTGGTGGGAGAGTGCATGCGAGGAGAGTGCAGTCTATGTCGATGGCCAAGCTAAGAAGGATGATTTCATCACCCATTTATATCGCAGTCCGGTGCTGAGAGAAAAAAATAGAGTTCTTGCTTTAAAAAAAACCACATACTTTGGAAGAAATCAGCAGTCCCCAGGTCTGGTTGATCCTGCCTGTTGGATGAAGATTAGGATCCGAGCTGGTTGCTTAGACTTGCTTAGACATTTCAGGATCGGGAAGTCTCGCTGTTTTGCACACGGACGACCTCATCCACCGTCACCCTCCTTCAGAGCGCTTCACGCCGCGACAGGTCGACCGACAGGGGCAGGTTTGTGGGGTGGTGGGTAAGACAGAACGTGGTCGCCAATCGGGAAATCTTGACCTGCTGTCATGATTTTTGGGGGATCGTTTCTGAAGACAGCTTGTATGCTGTGGACTTAGTATAGCCTCCCCTGAGAACCGCTACAGCACTGCGTTGGCTTCAAAACACAGCATCCCCAGACACCATCGGCCAACACTCCTCTGTCGCATGGCAGAAACTAAGGCATTGGATTTGGACAGATCTCCTTAGTGCCAAAGAGATCACAAACCAGTCGTTCACAGTGAAATGCAAAGGCGGCATTGTGAACACCCAAAGGCAGGGAGCGGCACTCCCCGGCCAGCACAAAAGATTCGTATCTCAAAGACGCGTGGACACTCGGTGGGTTTCATTGCAATAATGCCGGTGGCATCTCAAAGTTTTTTACTGATCAGATTGATATCGTTTATCCAAGGGACATGGGATGCTTTGTGCCAAGTACCGCCTTGCTTCTGCCTTGCTGCATCAGGTTGTTCATCTGGTGGTTACCTGGTGGTTATCTGGCCCAAAACACCACCAAGAAATGGGTTACGTTGGGCCCTGCCTCACAATGCATGAGTCATTCCATCGAATTTGTTTGCTGGATAGGCAGGTTTTGCAAATTTCAGGAAGAAGCGTGTTTAACTTGTTTCAGGAACTGGTCATGCAGCAGTTGCTACTTACTGTAGCCTTACGTGTGTATATTGACTAGAAAGGTGTCATATGTGCATCAAAGTTGTTATATTTATGTATATATATATATGTACAGTATAGAATATGTCTGATTGAAAGACTCGTCACACACTGCACAGAAAGTGGACCAAAATTTCAAGCAAAACAGGGCCTACAACTATATTCTACAGTGAACCTTTAAATGCTACCACTACGACTACTACGTCTTCTTCTATTTTCTTTAACAAGAACAACAACAACTACTACTACTACTACTACTACTGCTACTGCTACTGCTACTGCTACTCCTACTCCTACTCCTACTACTACTACTACTACTACTACTACTACTACTACTACTACTACTTGAACCTAAGCAACGGGGAGTGAACGCTGAAGATTCTCTTGATGGAGTGGCGCCCACTTGTGAATGTGGCAAATATGTCCTCTTTGATAAAGGACGCATTTCATGATCTTCAAGGGGCATCAGCTGCATCACAGTCGTAGGCCGGCATCTGAGGGCGTTTATATACTTTTAGATAATGTTGATCGGTTTCCAGATCTTATGAACACAAAAGAACACCCAAACTACTGGGATGCTTGGAGGTCGGGCAAGTCGCTCCGCCGAAAGGCTGCTTTTCCTCGGCTGCTCCTGTAGCTTGGCGCCTAATATCCAACTCCAACTGAAACCAACTGAAACATGGTGGGTACTCAAACTGATTCCAGGGTATCTTGAACACATCCTCCGTGCTGACCACTCAGCCTCTCAAAACGCATCAACGAAAAAATGCACCCCGCCAGTCCACCCGGCATTGTGATTTGCCTCTCCGCTCGTCTTCGGCCCGTCCGAGGCTCCGAGATAAGCATCGGCACGTTGTTGCCCTTCATGGAGCATGGCCAGCAACCTGAGGCGGAACAGGCTCCTGTTTTTGAGTTGAGTAGTTTGTGGATCTTAGATGGTTAAAATAACATATCTTTTACCATAATGTCAAGAATATATCTAAAGAGGTATTAAAAGTTGTCATACAAGTGCAGCACATGGTGCACAGGTGGCTGGGATGCGCCTTCTGGGAATTGCTGGGAGGTCTTTTTGGAGGGACATTGGATTGGTTACCACTGCCTAAGAGCTCCAGTCAGGGAAATGGACCCAATATTGGGAGTAATTGAAACGTGGATTGATAGGGGCAGAAGTTAGTGGAAAAATGTTGAAAGCATTATATTGAGGTGATTTTGAACCATAACTGCTCTGTAAAAGACAAGGTTCCTTTTGAATCCTTTTGACGGATAATTGAAAGCTTTGGTCTGATCATGTGCATCATGTAGACAATTCCAGATTTGGGTGACTGCTTGGAATGGTTCCATGTGTGACATGGGCTTGGTCGCCGTCACCACATCACACCACCATCAAACTATTCGTTCAATTAGGAGGCTCCTCTTCGTCTTTAGACTGAGTCTACTCTCGGGCCACGGGCACCTCAGATTTGTGAACAACCCGGCCCAGTCTACTCATGGAAACCCAAGAGACTACCCATACAGAAAGATCTTGCCAACATCTTCCAGGTCTTTTACAACTTCAATCATGTTCAAGCTCCAAAACTGACCCGACCCCTTCAACTCCAGCAACTTCCGACTCCACCCATGTGCTTGTTCGGGGGGCTTCCATGGACGCTTCGACACCCTGCAGCAGCTCGGGACCCACGACCACCCCGGCGGAGCGGGTCCGCAGCTTCGACACCAGGCGCCCCCGGCTGTGCGATCTTCTCGATCATCGGCGGCACGGGATTGCGGGCCTAGCAGGGTCGGTTCGCCGGAGGCCGCAAATGGGTTGCGAGGTGGAGAGGTTGAGAGCAAGACATGACATCATAGAACCATAGAAAACCCATGATCTGAAGGCATGAACAGCTAGACTGTTAAACAGCCAGTGGATCTGAACCAGAATGTCAAAATCCGGCACCACAAGAACACATTTTTGACCCAGGATCGGATTCGTCATAGATCTTCCCATCTGTTAGCCCCCCACTGGACCGAACCACCGTCCTCCAGCATCCACGGACGTACCTTCAGTAGCTCCAACCCTTCAGCTCGGAGCCCGAAGCAATCCCAAACACGACTAATGGCACTGGCATTAAAAAAGATACCTTGAACCCAGCTAACCCCAATGTGGAGCGTCTGGGAATAGGGTCTGGTTGGAACCCGTCGTCTGGGTGGTTCTTCGGTCCCGACCCCCCCCGGGGGACCCGGAGAAGGTCCGACTCGCTGCTATTCTCCGAGCCCTGCGCCTGTTGAGCCTCGTAGAGGAACTCGTTCACCTGGAACCGGGACTCGGTTGACCCCGGAACCCGCACCGAAGTGGGCCGGCGTTTCCTTAGGCGCTCGGAAAGGGCATTCTTTGGGTGGTGTTGCTTGGGTCCGAAGCAATGATCGGTACCAGTCACCTGTGTCTGTACATCTTCTTCACCGCCCAGTCTCGCGGTGTCAAGCTATAGTCTCACATCAGTCAAAAAGAAACATAGGAGTCTTTTTTTCGGAGCATCAAGTATGACAGGAGAGGCGTGTTGATGCTCTTGTCTTGACAAGCCATACTTGAGGAATTGGTATGAGTTGATACTTGAGTTAATTGAAAAACTTGGTTCCTGCATGACAAGTTTTTCGTTCGGGTACCAACAAGTGTTCTCGAACATGGGTTTCCCGGATGGAACCGGGTCTCTGAAAGTTCTATCGTGCCGGGTCTCCGAGCTCGACCTGGGAGCTCGTACCCACATCTTGGGTTTGTTTTTGTGGAGCGAGAATGTCTGTGGCCACATCATCCCTTGGACGGAGTGTCACATCATCCCTTGGACGGCTCTGTCGAGCCGTGTCATCAGCTTCTGCTCGAACTCCGGAGTGTCAGCAGCTGAAGCCACGACTGCTGGGCAGATGCAGAACACAAGTAGTAGGGGCAATTTACTGGGCAAATCAGGAATACGCTCTGACTCACTAACATGGAAGTGGATGGCATGGTCCCTTAGAAGACTACTTTCCTTTACAAACAGAGGATTTGTCCACGTTGCCCATGTTTTCTGTGTTCGTGGTTTTCGTGTCTATTTCCACAGCTGATGTACTCACCCTGGCACAGCAGAATTGATCACTAACCTCAGACTTGCGCTTCCATTAATGGTGTGCCCTGGACAGGGAGACCTGGAAAACGTCGTGTGGAGATCCATTAATGGTGACCCCGAACGGAAGCTGGTAGAGTTGTGACTGGAGACTGACCCAGCACGCACTGTGCAGTGCAGTAGCACCTGGCAACAAACCGAGATAGCGAGCCATCGGGGGGGGGGACGTTCGTTCCACCTGTGTCACACGAACACCTGAGACCTCCCGCTTGGGGCCTTCGGGCGTAACTCCGGTTTGGCGAAGGAAGAAATCGATTAGAACATACCAGATTCTACCCATGCAGTCTACCTCTTGGGCCAGTCTCTGGCTACCCCAGTCTGTGTCTCGGGTGTCCAGTTCTACCGAGTTCTACCGCTTCAGGCATCCCTCAACGTTCCGCCCCTTCGGTGTCGCCTGCAACTTCTCCAGCAAGTCCGACTCCGTCGACTGGATCAAGATGGGCCGCTGCCTGGCAGACGTGAGAGACCCGGTATCCGGCGGTCCGACCGTGCGAGCGAGACCAACGCGACGGCGCGTTCCTGTCTTCGAGAACCGTGCCTTTAAAAGGACCAGACTCCAGTTCTTTTTTTGGACATGGAAAGATACCACCGGTACCAATCGAACCATCACAGGTTTTGCTATAAGGATTTGACCCGATAAAACCAGGTCAACATGTCCTTTCATGTCTTTTCATGCTCTTGGAAGGCTATAAAGGGCATATATATATATATTATGCCACAGAACCTGCCAAAGTACCAGGTCACCTGTGTTCTTTGTTTGGCCAACCAGGTCCTGGCTGTTGAATGAAATTCTGATCCCAACTGGAGAGAAACATCGTCTGTCTTTCTTGCATCCCAAACCCCCAAAACTGGCTGGTTAGCAGTTGACAGTAAGATTGCAAACCCTAAAAGATAGGGTCATAGTCATGCTATCAAACTGACCAACCCGCACGAATGAATTCGTTGAAGAACTGTTTCTTTTCTTCATCTCTAACATTTTCTGATGTCTGCAGTTTTGGGAGCTTCCACATGCACCTCTGCCGCCGCAAAACTTCAATTGTTTCTCGTTCCCGCACCTGCCAGCTTCATCTAAGACATCCTCTCGCTTGATGTACCTGCGCGACGTCCGCGAGGACTTGACGTCCTCGGGTCTCGGGCGCGTGGAACACGCGGGGGTGAGCGAACCCCTGGGAGCTCCGAAAGACGAAGTGAAAGAAGTCTTCTGCTACACTGGCTGAATAGCTACACTCCTTGAAATGATCGTGGTTGCGTGGATGGCATGGCTGCAAAAAACTTAACTTTCTGGATAGCAAGCAGGTGGTGGTTTTCACTCCACAACAAAGCATGATGGATTTGAGGGCGTGTAAGACATATGATGGATTTGATGGCATGGCTCCATTTTTGGGAGTTCCCACAGCTCAGGGTCCTTTCATTGAACGACTCCGTTTCGTAGGTCAGGGAAACTTGAAACTGAGTTGGAGTGGGGTCCCACAGTCATCACCAGTTCTAGTGCCACAGCGCAGGGTGGTGTTGAAATGTCTTGAAAACATCAGGGCGGTGTTGTTCTTGTCCGTGTTGCAGCTGAACTCCACTTCGTTCGACCCACTTCCGTGGCGCACTCGAGCTCTTTCTTGAAGGCTTCGGTGTCGTTCACCGTGGTCGCGGCCTGGAGACCCGTCTCTGCCGTCCCAAGCTGCAGTGCTGTCTCCGTCTCTTCGGGGTCTGTTGGTGGGTATATCATAGTGCATCACCCACTGGGAGGATCTGATGTTCCTCAGTTTTCAGACCTTCATGGACTTGTTCCTGATGTTAAAACGAGGGAGAAGCAAAACCCTGCGTCTCAGGTACCGTCTCATGTACCTGATTCAAAGTGAATTGCATGTCCTCCCTCAACTTCATCAACCAGATGGGGGGTTGGACCCAAATAACAAGCTACTTCACTTGAGTCTTGCGACAGTCCTGCACAAATGGTTGTCACCAAGAACATCACCTTGCAAGTGAATCACTACACCGGAACACCCAAACACAAGCATCCATTCCTCTGGGTCTGTCAAACCCTCTGGGTCTGTCTGGCCTTGTGGAGATCATCTGCATCCAAAAGGTCAAAATCCACACACCCCAGCACCACCCAGTTTGGGTGGCTTATATATATAACCCCCCCCCCCCCAAGGGCCTGACTGTGCCCATGCGATTTCGCACCGGATCCACCTCCGAAAACACATATGACCAATACTGACCACCGTCTTTCCTCGACGAACCGACGAAGCAAGTCCCAGACGAACCGGACCGACGACCGATCCGACGGACCGGACCGGACCGGACCGAATGGACTTCCCGGACGACCGGTACGGCACGCTGGCGCGTCTCGGTGGTCGCAACGGATGGCGCGTCTCGGTGGTCGCAGCTTCTCCCGTTGGTCACTTGTGAGCCAATCTCAGGAAGCAGCTGGGCGTGTGTAGCAGAAAACGCGTCCTTTGACGCAGCTGTAGCTGCTGGGTTTTCACCAGCGAAAGAGTAGGCGCCTCTGAAAGAGTAGGCCTCAATGATAATATGGGTGACGCTTAGATCATGCTATAACTTAGGCTTAGATCATCTACCACTGAATGGCACTGAATGCCACTCAGCATGGTATCAAAGAGACGGTTGTTAGAGTTCCTTTGCAAAGTTTCCATGGTAAGTAGGTAAACCCAAAGGTTTGTATTGTACAGCATCATCTAGCATTATATATGTATGTACAATTTCGTTCCCTTCCCCATTCTCTTGTTGTCAAGTTGGAAGATTGGTCAAAGCCCAAAAAACAATCGCTGTCTCCTGAATAGATGCGTATGACCCTTCAAAGTGAGCTTTGAGATCTCAGAATGGGGTCACTTTTAGTCCCTGAAGAGGTCACTTAGACACTCCAAAGAAGGCCCTAGAACATGGGTTGTCTTCATCTTTCAGCGTGATTTATCTTCCCCAGCGACATGTCGCAATCAATGTAGCACCAAGAACTACATGCCTGTCACAAACGCAGAGGCTCCAGTGACGAGCGCAGATGATGCTTGGATTTGTTGCTCAGGAATCTGGACTCGGGAGATTGACGCTGCATTCCAATTGGGATGCTTGCTATCCTGATTCAAAAACATAATGAGTTGAAGACTTCTCAAGCCAGAGATGTGTCGCCAAAAAGATCCCAATAAATTTGACCATCAAAAATAGACCCAATCCCCAATGGGCCAGGGTGTGTCTCCCATTAAAATCCATACTCACTCACCAAAATGGGTCAGATCCTCTGTGAGGCAGGGTCTTCCCACCTGCGACACAATGACAAACTTGGAGAGGTACCATCCCCCACAAAGACATTCTTAAAATTAAGGTTCATCTCATTTTGATCCACCACATTGGTTTCCCGGTTGGTGGTTTCAACCCATATTTGTCGGGATCAATGATCCTAACAAAACGTTAGAAACCACCACCCAGTTATATTGTGTACTCTAGGCCATGTGATCCTTTCATTGGATCCCAGTTCCCATTGGATCCCAGTTCCTGACTCAGTCAAGAACCACCTGGAACCCATACGAATGGATCATTGAACATCTGAACAGGACGCAAGATTTACCCAGTGAACACACCATTTTTCCAAGGATGATTTGATAAACATGATGTTTCTATGGACTCTTTCTGCAGTGTATGGACTCCTATGGACTTGTATGGACTCCTATGGACTTGTATGGACTTTTATGGACTCTTTTTTGCTTCACTGCCAATGTGACTCCACAAAAAGGCCAGCTCTAGGCCCGCTGAGTCGGCGAGTCTAACATGGACGCTGCATGCTGCGCCAGTGCTGAACAGTCGCTCGTCATGCTGCGCCAAATATACACTCCCGAAAACTAACATGGACCCTGAAAACCACTGGTTGGTAGAGGAAAACAATCTTTCAGGTTACCATTGTCAGGGTCTATGTTAGTTTTCAGGAGTGCACTGCATAAATCAGAAATTGGATATAGCCACAGTAGCAGTAGCAGTGATGTCTTGCTCAGCCTTGCTTGGAAAAACCCGTGCAAACGGTGCAAACGTGTTCATCTTCCAAAAGTCAAACGTCACATGAAAAACCGGTGGGAACGGCAACTCACCACTTCCAACCACACGATCGTCGCAGCTACGGCTGGGGAAATCCGATCGATGCATTGGGATCGCCACGTCGCCACGTGGAGGCGGCGAGGTTCATGGCATGGACCGTATGGAGCGCATGGAGCTTGGCGGAAGACCGAACAGAGAAGCTATGTGCATCAACCAATTTTTAAGAAGCTATGAAACTGGAACACCGCTGGTCATCTGCATAGATGATCATAGATGGCATCTGGGACGATCTCTACAAATCCAAAAAGGACGTTCTCCAGAGTCCAAAACGATCTCTACGCTGTCGCTGACTTCGTTGTCTTTGTGCCTTCTTGGCATGAAGTCACCACATGCGATGAGCAGAACACTCTACGAATTCGGCATTCGGCCCCGTACCACATCCTTGGGATGTGAGTGCCACAAAGCGATGTGGGTGGAGACGTTGCAGAATGGTCCCATCTGCAAAAACTGTGACATGTAATATGTTGCACGGGTTGTATGATGGGTGAAGGTGAACCTGAGCAAATGCCAAAACTTCTCGCATATGTTTGAACCTTCTTTCAGTACGAAAACTTCAGGGTCATGAAGGGTTCTGTCTTGAGCCACTTGAGCCATCAATGTCAGGTTTCTTCTCTTGGCTTGACATAATAGGGGCCTATATAATTCAAAACGGCCCACAAGTGAACAGGATGTCTTTGGAGCTGGCCTCTGCGGGACATGGAATCTTGATGTCCGAACTGGCACTTCTAACCTCCACCCATGCTTTCGGAGCTCGTCCAAGGCATTTGCGGATCTCATCAAGGCACCCGGTCTTCATTCAAACGAGATTTACAACGACCTTCCGAAGAGAAACAATACTATGTCATGTCATCGTCTGCTTGTCATGAAACTGTTTGCATCCTTTTTGCTGTCTTCCCCATGGTATCAACTGGCACGAGAGATCCACCCGATGAGGGCCCTGCATTCGGCTTTTGGGCCCGGTTTCACAAAAACACCGTCCGGGAACCGGAAGTCTTTGCTGTATTAGATCATGCCTTAATTGGGTCTATCCTATTACCTATAACAGTGGATGATGATGGTTAGAAAAATCCTTGTTCAGGAAAAAACTATAATATGTTATAACTATAACCATTTACTGACTGCTACAGGTAATAGGACAAACCCAAATCATGCATTTCAAAAAACCTCTCATGATTGAAGCCCGCTTTCATTGATTTGTCGGCGAATCCGCATCCAAATCCGTAATGGCGCCTGACTTCTCTGTTTTACCATTGCTTGTAGGGGTTGCCGCCTCAAATTCGTACTCTGACTCTCCAGGAGATAAATGATCGCCATCGGATTTTTCGGTGACAGCTCCTGATTTCTCTGTCCTGCCATTGCTTGTAGGGGTTGCCGCCTCAAATTCATACTCTGACTGTCCAGGAGATAAATGATCACCATCGGATTTCTCAGTGACGGCTCCTGATTTCTCTGTCTTGGCA